ACTCAGACCAAAAATATTATGATTATGAAAAAGATGTGCTTGGCAGGCTTTAAAATTAGACAAATTGACCAACATTATAAATAAAGTTAAAAACTTATATTATTATTTGTAGTTGTTACAAAGCCCCTGGGGTTGTAAAAAGACTCCAGGATAATGAAAAGTGTTTCAGTCTTTAAAAATTTGTGGACAAATAAATGTTTCTTACTTAACTGTTTCTACTGTTCTTACTGTACATGACTAGTAATTTTCCTTCAGATTTCATTTTTATCTCCTGTTACAGAGGGTTATAATATAGAAACATTACATACTCTACCTTTAAATGCTTTGCAGATCAGCATGATCTTTTTATCTGGTCAGAGCCCTTCTAGCAGTTGCTAGGCTAACGTTAGTCAGCATCTCTGGGACAGCTCTGTGTAATCCAAACATAAACAACTCTGTAACAGTCGTTGTAACCCTCGTCTTAAACCAAAAGTGTATTTATACAATCGAAAGTGATATTAATATCGTTTTAACAACTTGAATACAAAAACATAACATTTACAAAGGATTTCAGCGTGGTGGAGCCTTTTAGTTAACTTTGCAGTTATCATATAACACAACCGGCCGCTAACTGCCGTTTTGATACAATGCCAGCAAACAGATACAATCTTCGCTACTAATTAACTCTTTAACTGCACGTTACCTCACTAAACTTGTAAACACACTTGAGTAACATGTTATCTTAACATTTCATCGATTTTGTGATAGGATTTAACGTTACCCACCTAAAAGATGAGACGGCTGCGTTGTTGTTCAAAATCAAGGCGCTCTAGTAATGACACTCTTGCGGTTCACCGTTACCATAGCAACCCTGTAAACAAACCATCCCGGTCCCACCCACTCTCCACTCATGATATTTCATATAAATACAGCTTTAGATGAATCATGAAGAAAATTAACAAAGAGAAGAAGATTTTATTATAAATACTTATAAGAAAAACATACATATAAACGTGTGACTAACCCTTCAGGGTGTCACACTTTCCCCAAGAAAATAATTGCTCCAGTTATGATTTTTTTTTTCACACTTAAGGACACTTTTTAAACACTTTTGGTGTCAAAATTGTCTAAAAAAGTGGACAATGAACATAAACATATTTTGGGTGGCTCAACTGGCTACCCCACATGGGAGCCACATGTGTTTTTCTGTTGGATTGTCCTGCCCACACTGTCCCACAGTAAACCCACACTTACCCACATAGGGTCCACACTGTGATCATATGTGATCAAGATTATATATAAAACTATAATTTCTGGATGATTTTCTCTCAGCAGCAAGGCAGTTTTTGTCCTTCACACTATTTTGACAAAAATGAAAATGATTTATTGTACCTTTTATATACAAGCTAAATATAAAATTTAACTTAAATTTACCCACGAAATACAAGTTGGGGCCACAAAGGGAAAATCCATTGGGCCCCGCTTGGGCTGACCTAAATGGGGCCCACATGTGTTTTTCTGTGGGCAAGCCCACTGTGGGATTGCCCACAGAAAACCCACATTGGGCCCCAAAGGGTAAAATCCATAGGGTCCCAAATAGGCTGACCCATATGGGGCCCACATGTGTTTTTCTGTGGGCAAGCCCACTGTGGGATTGCCCACAGAAAACCAACATTGGGGCCCCAAAGGGCAAAATCCATTGGGCCCCACATGGGTTGGCCCACTGGGGGCCACATGGGTTTTTCTGTGGGCCAGCCCGCGCAGGGCAATCCCACAGAAACCCCATGTGGGTCCCAAAGGGGAAAATATTTTAGGGGCCTGCATGGGCTACCCCACATGGGGCCCACATGTGTTTTTCTGTGGGATTGTCTTGCCCACACTGTCCCACAGTAAACCCACACTTACCCACAGTGGGCCCACACTGGCATGTTTGCTGGGTAGAGATGGTTGTGCGTGAAAATCCCAGTAGATCAGCAGTTTCTGAAATACTCAGAGAAGCCCGTCCGGTAGCAACAACCATGCCACGTTCAAAGTCACTTAAATCCCCTTTCTTCCCCATTCTGATGCTCGCTTTGAACTGCAGCAGATCCTCTTGATCATGTCTACATGCCTAAATGCAGTGAGCTGCTGCCATCTGATTGACATTTGCGTCGGCGAGCAGCTGGACAGTTGTACCTAATAAAATGGCCTGTACGTGTATTACCTACATTTACTGGCTAATGCAAATGGTTTACTCATTTTTACACAGTGATGGAGGAACATCACCCATATATGAGAAGCTAATAGAAGGATGAGAGCAATCTCTGTGCAGTTCTGTTGACCTTCATTTACAGCTGATGTGAAAGGGCAGAACGGAAGTGGGGAGTACAGTTACACAAGGCCTTCGCAGGTACATCCGTCCACGTGCTTTATAAAGCTCTGCAGCGGTAAAGTGCTGAAGGGATACAGCTGCGGACACTCACATCAATATAATTTGTATGACACTATACATCAATAATTAATATTTTTACATTACTGTGAGGGTTGGGTTTAGTGTAAGAATTGGGTATGCGTTCATAAAATACAATTTAAGGGGTAATTTAATAAATAATATGTATAATAACTGTTTTTATATTACTGTGAGGGTCGAGGATAGAGTTGGAGTAGGGGAAGGCGTTAATAAAATACAATTAAATAGCTAATTTAATAAATAATGTGAACAATTATCGGTATAATTACTGTTTTTTGCATTGTTGTGAAGATTGGTTAAGGTATACGTTAATAAAATACAATTTAATGGGCTATTTATTAAATAATATAAACAGTTCTCGACATGAAAACTGTTTTTACATTACTATGAGGGTTGGATTAGGGAACCCTAGGGGTAGACGTTAATAAAATACAATATAATCGTTAATGTATTTATTAATATAAATAGTACTCGGTATAATTAATGTTTTTACATTACTGTGATGGTTTGATGTAGGATAAGAGAAGGATTGATGTTAATAAAATACATTTAACGAATAATTTAATAAATAATATAAATAATTCTCGTTAACTTCCGGCCGCAGCTGTATCCCTTCTCTGCAGCAGCAGCAGCAACGGTGAAGGGGCGGAGCCTAACACATGTTACGCCCCTCTGCTACACCACGGCGGAGCAACAAGTCGCAACCGGTCCGCTGAATTTCCCGTTGAACGGTGATGATCAGCTCTCGTGCCCTTGAGGAGCAGCAACTCTCGGGTTTTATGATCATTTATGATGCTAATTTGCGATAATCCGATGTGAATGTACTAGCGGACCTGATGGAGAACCGCATCAGCTGTGTTTGCTGTGAAATGACGGACTGGAGATCAGTTTGAAGGTAAGAAACGCGATGTACAGTAATGTCCGCGTCCATATACTGTATTTCAGCACACCGCACTGCTGTTTACACTCATATTATTGCATATTTAGCAGTAGAAAGAGGATGTTTTAGTGGATATACGAGCACTAGAGTCCGTGTTGTTCATTTAGTATTGAAACTCTTTGCCACGTTTGCAGTGTTTTCATCTAAAAGCAACACAATTCTGATGTTTACATCAATACTGAAGCTTGACATTCTTTATTAAACCACATACAGACATTATTTAATACTAAACACACGATAACTGCTTATGATGCTATTAGTAGATATTTAACTAACATTATTTGGCAGAACTTGTGTAATATACATATAATTCTTATAATATATGAGATATTTTAAGGTTTTATTTGTTTTTTTATTTCTAATCTGTAATCTAATGCCATTTAGCAGTATTTTATGTCTGTAAAATTATGCATTTTAAGGTAAATCCATTAGGAAAGTGCTGTTGTGATACCATTGTTGTAAATATAGTCGTATTTGTGTCAAATATGTAGTGTCTGCATCGAGTTACATCTACAAAAGTGATTATATGTGCATAGATGGCATACAGCATGCCATAAAGTGTCTATAGTAATGTTTCAGTAAACATAAAAGGTCTAAAATGGGTGAAATGTTGCTTCATTGTCATCAAGCATAACAGATAAATAAAACAAGTCAATTAGATATTCTGAGATATTTAGAAGTGGACAGATGTTCTGGATGATGTTTTAGTGGATATACGAGCACTAGAGTCCGTGTTGTTCGTTTAGTATTGAGACTCTTTGCCACGTTTGCAGTGTTTTCATCTAAAAGCAACACAATTCTGATGTTTACATCAATACTGAAGCTTGACATTCTTTATTAAACATCATGCAGACATAATTTAATGCTAAAACACACGATAATTGCCTATATGATGCTATTATTATAATTATTACACATTTAACTAACTTTATTTGGGAGAATTTGTATGATATACGTAAAATTCGTAAAAAAAAAAAGAGATATTCCTAAGATTTAATTAGTTTTTTACTTCTAAACTGTACACTAATGTCATTCAGCAGTGTTTTGTGTTTATGAAATTGTGTATTTTAAGGTATATCCCTTTGGAAAGTGCTGTTGTGATACCATTGTTGCAATATAGTCATATTTGGGTCAAATATGTAGTGTCTGCATCGAGTCACATCTACAAAAGTGATTATATGTGCATAGATAAAGTGTCTATAGTAATGTTTCAGTGAACATAAAAGGTCTAAAATGGGTGAAATGTTGCTTCATTGTCATCAAGCATAACAGATAAATAAAACAAGTAAATATCCTTATTCTGACATATGTAGGACTGGATAGATGTTCTGTATGATGTTTTAGTGGATATACGAGCACTAGAGTCCGTGTTGTTCGTTTATTAGCAAAACTCTTAGCTACTTTTGCAGTGTTTTCATCTAAAAGCAACACAATTCTGATGTTTACATCAATACTGAAGCTTGACATTCATTATTAAACCACATACAGACATTATTTAATGCTAAAACAAACGATAACTGCTTATATGATGCTATTATTAGACATTTAACTAACATTATTTAACAGAATTCGTATAATATACGTATAATTCTTATAATATATGAGATATTCCTAAGGTTTTATTAGTTTTATTATTCCTAATCTGTAATCTAATGCCATTCAGCAGTATTTTGTGTCTGCAAACGTATGTATTTTAAGGTAAATCCCTTTGGATATTTTCCCACACTCCTATTGCATCTCTGAATATGGGCTCATATCTACATCAAACAAACTCTCGTGTTGTCTGTTCTTTTAAAATACACCCAGCCCTTTGCTTTGACTGTAACGCTGTTTGTTTTGTCATAAGTCACACAACCTTGAACAGAAAAGGCCGGTCTGTCCATTTTTTCCTGTGACGTGGTCGCGGGTTTCCACAGTGAGCGCTTTTGACAATCGCTGACCTCCGAGCTTTCCACATGTAAACACAAACCCTCTTTGTGTTTGACGGCTATAATTAGAGTCTATTAAAATCAGATTTGATTGCATTAGACAATAGATGAATGGTGCTCTGAATATGATCTGCTGTTTGTCTGAAGTGAAACACTCTGTTGCCGTGAATGTGAAGTAAGTGGTTTTGCGGTCGCCTCGGCTTCTGTTTATATTGGAAGTCAAACAGTATTGCTTGGCTCCAATTGCGAAAGCAAATGTCATGCGTGTGTTTGTGTTGAGAAACAGATGCATGTGTATAAATGCTATTGGAAATGTACTGGGCATGTCAAAGGCACAATCCAGCCTGAAATAAAAAGGCATTCATCATTTACTCGCAGTCAGATGCTTGCAAACCTTTATGAGTTTCATTCAGCTGAGCAAACGAGTAACCATTGACTTGCAGAGTATTTGTTTCTCCTATTATATTAGTCAGCAGTGTTGGGGAAAGTTACTTATGAAAGTAATGCATTACAATATTGAGTTACTCCCCAATAAAGTAAGTTGCATTACTTGATTACTTATTATAGTAATGCGTTACGTTACTTTTGAGTTGCGTTTTTTGTTCTTAGGCCTGTCATAATAATCAATATACAGATTTATCGCACAACACATGCACATGAGCTCAATCATGTTTGGTGATGCAATATCTATCGGCCATACATACAAACCAATTCTAGCCACATTTGCTGATTGTGCAACATCTCTCTCTATTGGAGCTGTCAGTGCAGTATGGTTAATAAAACACTGCAGTATTTACTGTACATTACTATAGTATTCTCCTGGGTGTCTGACAGCTGAATATAGATCTGGAAGTAGATATTACATCCTCTGTTACTCTTTATGTTGCACGTTATTGTTAGCATTTATTATTATTTATTAGGGATATGCGTTTCACATTCTGATTCCTCATTATTAAAATGACTATTATTAAATTAGTTATTGAGAATGAAAGATGATGTGTTCTTTAGAAGAGTGCGCGTGCATTGTGATGATATTATATTGTTATTCTGGCTTTATATAAAGATGAGTGGCATAAAATGGTTTTAAAATGACAATAATATCGTTTATCGCATTTATCGCATATATATAAATATACAGTTGAAGTCAGAATTACCCCCCCCCCCCTTGTTGAAATTGGTTTTCCTTTTTAAATATTACTAAAATTATGTCAAACAAAGCAAGGATATTTTCACAGTGTGTTTGATAATATTTTATTTTCTGGAGAAAGTCTGATTTGTTTTATTTCGGCTAGAATAAAAGCAGTTTTAAATTTTTTAAACACCATTTTAAGGTCAATATTATTAGCCCCCTTAAGCTATATTTATTTTGGATAGTCTACAGAACAAACCACTGTTATACAATAACTTGCCTAATTCCCCTAACCTGCCTAGTTACCCTAATTACCCTAGTGAAGCCTTTAAATGTCTCTTTAAGCTGTATAGAAGTGTCTTGAAGAATATCTAGTCTAATATTATTTACTGTCATCATGACAAAGAGAAAATAAATAAACCAGTTATAAGAAATGAGAAAACTGCTCTGTTAATCCGAAATTAAGAAAAAAAAAAAAAATAGGGGGGCTAATAATTCTGACTTCAACTGTGTTGTAACAGTATTATTTTTATTATAAAATTATTATTCTAAATAAATAACAAAAATTAATCCTAAGGCCATGTCTACACTAATCCGGATAAATTTGAAAACGGAGTTTTCCTCTAAAAACGCTTCACGTCCACACTGTCGTTTCTATTCGTTTTCCAAAACTTTGTCATCCACACTGAAACGACTACCAATGCTTTCAACCTGTACTGCGCATACGTGAAACGTAAGACGCTTCGTCACGTGTCATTTCCGGCTGACGTTTATTTTCTTTCCGGCTCTTTGAAATGTTGCGGCAAAATGTCAAGGAAAATCACAGAGTTTTTTAAATTGACTGACAATGAAGTAGAGTTGCTGCTTCGAGTAACACATGAATACAAAGTTGCAAAAGAGAGTGGAAATGTAGACTGGGAGACGTGCCAAAACAAATACGCCGATATACTGGAGCGCTTTAAAGAACAGTATCCTGCTGATGACGCTGCTTACCCTCACAGTAAGGACGACATCACTAAAATCATCATCACAAAGAAAATAAAGTAAACGAATTAGTAACATGACTGAGTGTCACATGACAAAAAACGCGTCATCGTTTTCGAAAGACTCCATTTTCACAGTCTACACTACGACACGAAAAAGGCGTTTTCAAATTTATCCACTTTGGAGAGCGTTTTCAAAAAGATACGTTTTTGTTTCCTAAAAACCCGTCTCAGTGTGGATGGAAGGGCAAAACGGAGACAAAAATATGTGTTTTCAAATGAAAATGCATTAGTGTGGACATGGCCTAAATGTAACTGGAAAACTATCTAAACACTCAACTGGAGTGATGCTAAGATAATTGAAGAAACTGAATTGAAAAATATGAATTTCATTATAATGAAGTTCTATTCGAAAGATAAAAAATGTTTTATAGAATTATCTGTTGTGTGTTGTTTTAGACGTGACTCATGGCTGAGAATTAGGTTTATTAAATCTTACCTCCCTGATCAGCCCTTTTTTTTTGCTTCTCACAAAAAGATCTTCCAGGAGGCATGCTTAGTCTAAATAAAATAACCCGCATATTATTTAAACTTTGTTTTGTCCACTTGCAAAACTCACTGCGTGAGACTGTTACGCCGGTTTTACAATGCGTGAGCAGCGCGGCTATTTTTTCGGCATGCAAATTCACAACCGGGCAGAGCAGCGCATCAAGCAGGAGCAGTGTGTGAAGCGCGCAGGTGTTGTTTGTTTCTGCGCACATGCTCAGTTTGCTTTTTGATTAAACTACATTGCTTTCACCAGCGTTGGTTCAGTTGCACATAGAGAATAACGTCTTTTATATTCTGGGGTTACCTCTCTTAACAAATACACTTGCATTTAAAGTAAATCGGATCTCAAAACATTTACTAGGGCAC